ACTTGAAGCGCACCGAGGCCCGCAAGGAGGCCAGTTCTTTCCTGGCTGCCCTGGGCTTAGACAAGCCGACGGACAAGGAGGAATGGCGCCGGGTGCTCAGAGAGATGGGTGGCCCCGGTGCATGACAGCAAAGAGGCGATGCGCTTCAGGGCCATCTGCGACGAGCGGATCACCATCCCGCTGGATGCCTTGAAGCAGTTCCCGGAAGCGCACGCGAAGCTGGTGGGCCAACTCCCACAGTCGGCGATGGTGGACGTCTACATACATACAGGCAGACAGACACACACAGACACACACACACACATATACATACATCCAGGCAGACAGACACCAAGTGGTTTTAGGTGGTGACCGGGAGAGGGACTGTCTCTGTTTTGAACGAGATCGGTGCCTGGCGGGAACCTACAAACCTTGTGGGAACCTTGTGGGAACCTTTGGAACCTTGCGGGAACCTTGCAGGAACCTTGTGGGAACCTTGGGAACCTTGCGGGAACCTTGCAGGAACCTTGGGAACCTTGTGGGAACCTGGCGGGAACCTTGCAGGAACCTTGTGGGAACCTGGCGGGAACCTAGGCACCTTGTGGGAACGTTGTGGGAACCTTGGGAACCTTGCGGGAACCTTGCGGGAGCCTTGCAGGAACCTTACCTTGCGGGAACCTGGCGGGAACCTAGGAACCTTGTGGGAACCTTGTGGAACCTACGAACCTTCTAGGAACCTTGTGGGAACCTTCGGAACCTTGCAGGAACTTTGTGGGAACCTGGCGGGAACCTAGGCACCTTGTGGGAACCTTGTGGGAACCTTGGGAACCTTGCGGGAACCTTGCGGGAGCCTTGCAGGAACCTTGGGAACCTTGTGGGAACCTGGAACCTTGCAGGAAAGGGTCATCCAACAAATCTTCACTTGAGCAAAACGAAACCTTTGGCCTGGGGAGACTGCCAGCGATGAACCAATTTGGATGGCGTATTTGAGTCGAAAGATCACTCCTGGTTAGGGTGAACCGAAATAGATTCTTGAGGTGGATTCAATTGGCACTGCCCCCGATCTAGGTTTGAGGCCAGCGCTACTAGGGTGGAGGCCATCTCTACTTGGGTGAAGGCCATCATTGCTAGGTTGGAGGCCATCATTGCTAGGTTGGATGCCATGGCTACTAGGGAGCAGGCCATCACTACTAGGTTGGAGGCCATCGCTACTAGGGAGACCATCGCTACTAGGCTGGAGGCCATCGCTACTAGGGTGGTCGCTACTGGGGTGGAGCCATAGGGCGCAGCCCTCGCTACTAGGCTGGAGGCCATCGCTGCTAGGGCGGAGGGCATCGCTACATATCGCCATACCGCTACTAGGTTGGAGGCCAGCGTCGCTACTTGGTTGGAGGCCATCGCTCCTAGGTTGGTGACCATCGCCAGCAGAGGTTGGAGGCCATCGCTACTATCGCTACGAGGGTGGAGGCCATCGCCACCAGGGTGGAGGCCTTCGCCATCAGGGTGGAGGCCATCGCTATTGGGTTGTAGGCCACCCCTATTAATTGACGTTGGCGCCCATAATATCAAAGGAAGTTTAGTGTACGAAACTTCCGTGTTACGGACATTCAAGAACTGTTCACACACCACTCATCGAACACCACTCATCAATACACCACTCATCACACACCACTCATCAATATATATACACCAATCATACACCACTCATCATACACCACTCATCCATACTCCACTCATCAGACACCACTCATCATACACCACTCATCATACACCACTCATCATACACCAATCATCATACACCACTACATCATGCACCACTCATCATGCACCACTCATCATGCACCACTCATCA